GCACGCTCGCGCGCGCTGCGTCGCGTGGGCCACGCGTGTGGGCCGCACAAGCAAATTAGTTTTTTCTTTTTCATAAGGAATTAGAAATAGTTTTCTAATTTAATTCTGAGCTGATCTTTAGTAAATCATATAAAATCAAGTAGGTGTCTAAAAATTATGAAATAAATTTTGTTAGGTTCCTAAAATTATGCTCTATCTATTAATGTATTTAGTTCATATATATACATGTTGATAACAGGAGCTATTAAATCATTTGAGAGTGCTTAATATTATTTGGTTAAATATTGTAGGATTTTTTGTGGTAAATTGGTGATAGCTTTGATCCTAAAAAATTTATGGTAGCTTCATTGTTTTATTATGTGTTCACTGTAATTTTTATAGCTTTAGAATAGGCTAAGAATTAGGGTAGTTAAATGCTCTTTGTTTCAATATACATTAAATCATTAGTAAAAATAAAGATATATCCTTTATTTGTAAAGCTAGGTGTTTGTTAGTTGAACCCAGCACTTTGCTTGGTAAAGATGATAGTTAGCTTAGTACCTTAGTCATTAGAGCTAGCTTAGTAGCTTAGTATGTGTATTCTTAGTTTAGGAGTTGCTATTACTTAAATGCTAAGTGTTGCATCATCATCGCATGCATGTAGAGAATGAGTTGGTGGAGATCGTGACCACCGGTGATCACGAGTTCGAGGAGATCGTCGAGAAGTACAAGAAGGAGATTCTTGTGCAGAAGGAGGTCCCGGAGCCGCCACTAACTGACTCAGCTGACACCGTGCCTGCCCAAGACAAACCCCGGTACATAACCCCTTTTTTATAATCACTGTTTATATATGTTATATGCATTTATGTTTCAGGAATTTTATGGAAACTACATGCATAGATATACCTGTCCTAAGAGTCTTACTAGTGCAGGTTCGAGTAGCTACTATACTTAGGTTTTCAGTAGCATGAGTAACCTGCCGTTACTCATAATAGGTGATTATTATTACTCTCATAATAAAATGATGAAAAGAAAAATAGAGACAGGGCAAGGATATGGTATAGGTATTGATGGGTGTAACAGGTTGGGTCCCGCGGCCAATGGGGCTTAGCTTGGTTACAATGTTTTCCCTGTTCGTGTCGATTAAGGACCGTCTGTTGCTGTGGATGGTAGTCAGGTCACATATTTATTATCCTGAGCAAGTACTTGCTTATTTGAGCGGGAAAACTCGTTATGCTCTTGTCGTGGGTTCTGACTTTTTCTGGACCGACTGATTGAAGGTGGGGAAAGGTAGAAGTCTAAGCACCATATTGAGACTGGGTCTCAAGTGTGGGGGCTTGGAGTACAAGTTTGAACGGGGACCTGAACCCCATGATAGGAGTGGAATTGGTTGGGCTTATTTGTGCCTGGGGTACAAATGGGACGTGTGTTTCGAAGTACCCAGCTGGGATACATTGGTTCGCGAATCACCGTTTCCGTGAGACGGTACGACTTGGCTATGGTCTAGCACCGTAGTAAGAACTAAAAGATAAAAGATGATAAAATAGTTCTAATTGCTTAACACTTACTTGAAAATAGAACAGATGCTTACCTAAAATAGTTAGCTAATGAAGTAATCATGACTATTAAAACTTTTAATATAATAATGAAATTAGAAGTAACTTTTAATAGAGAAATTTTTAATACTTTAGGTAACTTTTAATATTATTATATTTGGACAGGGACGACAGCGTTTATCAAGTTTAGGGACCTGCGGTGATCATCTTGACAGTTCAGGGACCGAGATGACATCGTCATTAGGGACCTGTTGTGATCATCTTGAAAGATTAGAGACCTAGATGACACTGCCTGCAAAATTTAGGGACCCATAGATATCACTTTAGAAGTTTAGGGATTTGGATGACACCACCGACCAAGTTTAGGGACCGACGGTGACTAATAAAACTTGACTGTAAGGATGAACTATTAGTAATGTTTTTCGCAAATAAAAAAAAAACAACAAACCTATATTGCCTATCATATCTTTGAGAGTCGGGAAACTATTCCTCCTAGTCGGGTAAGTCTTGTGAGTACACTGTGTACTCAGGGTTTGTTTATCCCTCGTTGCAGATACAGCTTGACGAGTAGCTCTTGTGTGGAGGATTTTTCTGGTGGGCACAAACAGATCCTTGTATCGTTTTCGCTAGATGTCTATTGTCATTTCGCTGTTTATTTATCGAACTCTGAACTCTGGTATTGTAATAAATAATTTTCAAGAACTCTTGTTGTATGAAATGGTCTAAATATTGTAAGCTCGTATTTATTATTGAATTCTGGAAGTAAAATGTGGATTGTTTCGAGTTCACCCTTGGGGCGTGCTCGACGGAACTGTCAGATATAGCTCACTTTCGAGGTGCTTAGTGTCTTGTGGAAGACGAGCGCCTCCGGAAACGTATTATTTCTGACGGTTCTGCCACACTAAACTTGGCTGACGGTGTCATTCTGATTCCCAAACTTTCGAGGTGATCACAGCAGGTCCCTAAACTTACCACTCGGTATCATTCTTATCCAATTATGGTCTAACCTACTTTATAAGCTGGCCTGGCACGCTGACTATACGTTAGACGTGGATCCTACATGTGTCAATTAATCAATCATTATTCATATAATATTTATCATCAAAATATAAATTATTTAAAATAATTTACATCAGCAAAAAAATAAATTAAAGTATTAAAATAATATAATAATTTTAATAGTAGTATTATAGTATTAGAACTTTTAATAATAGTATTATAATATTAAAAGTTTTAATAATAATGTTATAGTATTAATAATAAAGAAAAGTTACTTCTATAATACCATTATAAAAACTTTTAATATAATAATGAAATAGAAGTAACTTTTAATAGAGAAACTTTTAATACTATTGGTAAATTTTAATATTATTATATTTGGACAGGGATGACATCGTTTGTCAAGTTTAGGGACCTGTGGTGATCATCTTGACAGTTCAGGGACCGAGATGACACCGTCATTAGGGACCTGCTGTGATCATCTTGAAATATTAGAGACCTAGATGACACTGTCTGCTAAATTTAGGGACCCATATATATCACTTTAGAAGTTTAGGGACTTGGATGACACCACCGGCCAAGTTCAGGGACCGACGGTGGCTAATAAAACTTGACTGTAAGGATGAACTATTAGTAATGCTTTTCGTAAATAAAAAGAAAACAACAAACCCTATTACCTATAATATCTTTGAGAGTCGGGAAACTATTCCTCTTAGTCGGGTAAGTCTTGTGAGTACACTGTGTACTTAGGGTTTATTTATCTCTGTTGCAGGTACAACTTGAGGAGTAGCTCTTGTGTGGAGGATTCTTCTAGTGGACACAAACGGATCCTTCTATTGTTTCCGCTAGATGTTTATTTTTATTCCGCTGTATAATTATCGCACTATGAAATCTGGTATTATAATAAATAATTTTCAAGAACTCTGGTTGTATGAAATTGTCTAAATATTATAAGCTCGTACTCATTATTGAATTCTGGAAGTAAAACATGGATTGCTTCGAGTTCTCCATTGGGGTGTGCTCGACGGAACTGTTAGATGTAGCTCACTTTTGGTACTTAGTGTCTAGTGAAAGACGAGCGTCTCTAAAAACGTGTTATTTCTGACGGTTCTGCCATATTAAACTTGGCTGACGGTGTCATCCCGATCCCTAAACTTTCAAGGTGATCACCGTAGGTCCCTAAACTTGGCACTCGGTATCATCCTTATCCAAATGTGGTCTAACATACTCTATAAGCTAGCCTAGCAAGCTGACTATACGTTAGACGTGGATCCTACATGTGTCAATTAATCAATCACTATTCATATAATATTTATCATGAAAAAATAAATTATTTAAAATAATTTACATCAGCATAAAAATAAATTAAAGTATTAAAATAATATAAAACTTTTAATAGTAGTATTATAGTATTAGAACTTTTAATAATAGTATTATAATATTAAAAGTTTTAATAATAATGTTACAGTATTAATAACAAAGAAAAGTTACTTCTATAATACCACTATTAAAACTTTTAATATAATAATGAAAAATTAGAAGTAACTTTTAATAGAGAAAATTTTAATACTATAGGTAACTTTTAATATTATTATATTTGGACAGGGATGACATCGTTTGCCAAGATTAGGGGCCTACGGTGATCATCTTAAAAGTTCAAGGACCGAGATGACATCGTCATTAGGGATCTGCTGTGATCATCTTGAAAGTTAGGGACCCACAGATATCACTTTAGAAGTTTAGGAATTTGAATGACACCATCAGCCAAGTTCAGGGAGTGACGGTGAATTTTGCTCCAAGTTACAAAAGGCCACGATGCATACTAATCATTTCTCATTTCTACATCCTGTCTCAGTTTCAAGAGAAAGTAAATCATCATATTAAAAAATAATTAGCAGAGCCATCAGGTAGCGAAGTACTTCTGGTACCTCGACGAGGTACTTCCGTACTGCTAATGGAGTATCAAGCAATTCTATTACCGCCGCCTCCCTTCTCAAATTTGTTTGCTCCAATGGAAACATGAGCACGAGGGGTGAACGAGTCAACAGCCCCAAAGCATGGGCTGGCAGCCCGCAGCTACCTCCATCAACAAACAAAATCAATCTTTCCAAGGGCAGAATCGTCACGTCAAGTACCTTTAAAAATCAAGCATAAAAAAAAAAGAGTTGTCGCTGGACCTGGACGAGTAGGGGACGGTGGCGGAGAAGAAGAAAGAGCTGGTAGGAAGCAACAGAACGAAGACTAGCACCAACCAGATCATAGGAGAGGAGAGAAGCCAGCGAGAGATCAGAGAGAGGAATTTGCCGGCAAAAACTTGCCTTCTCCCCTCCGGAATCTAGCTAATTACTTTCCGGTCCTTCTCCCCCATGTAAGTCTCCCCTCGTCGTCGCCTGCACCTACCGGAAGCGAAGCCTCCTACAGTTCAGGTCCACATCCGGGTCGCCGCCGTCGGCTAGCTAGCCGGATATGGTGACCGCTCGCCGGGGCACGGCCTCCACCTGCGCGCTCCTGCTGCTCTTGCTGCTTCCGGCTGTGGTCTCCATCTCTTATTCCTCCGGGTTGCTCCGTGGTCAGGACCAGGACAGATCGGCGCTGCTCCAGATCAAGAACGCCTTTCCTGCCGTAGAGCTGCTCCAGCAGTGGTCCCCGGACTCTGGCGGCCCCAACCACTGCTCCTGGCCGGGGGTAACCTGCGACTCGAGCTCCCGGGTCGTCGCACTGGAGGTGCCCTCTCCTTCACGGCGCTCCGGACCCGGCCGGGAGCTTGCCGGCGAGCTGCCTGCGGCGGTTGGGCTCCTCGCCGAGCTGAAAGAGGTCTCCTTTCCGTTCCACGGCCTCCGGGGCGAGATCCCCGGTGAGATCTGGCGGTTGGAGAAGCTCGAGGTGGTCAACCTCCCCGGGAACTCTCTCCGGGGCGCCCTTCCTGCCGCCTTCCCGCCGCGGCTGAGGGTGCTCTCCCTCGCTTCCAACCTGCTTCACGGTGAGATCCCCTCCTCCCTTTCCACCTGCAAAGACTTGGAGAGGTTGGATCTTTCAGGCAACCGGTTCACTGGATCGGTGCCGGGAGCGCTTGGCGGCCTGACCAAGCTGAAGTGGCTTGACTTGTCTGGAAACCTTCTTGCCGGGGGCATCCCCTCTGGTCTGGGGAATTGCAGGCAGCTCCGCTCGCTGCGGTTGTTCTCCAATTCATTACATGGTTCAATTCCAGCAGGAATTGGAAGGCTGAGGAAACTACGGGTATTGGACGTATCGAGAAACAGATTGAGTGGCCTGGTGCCACCGGAGCTGGGGAATTGCTCAGATTTGTCAGTTCTCATATTGTCTAGCCAGTCCAATTCAGTAAAGTCACTTGAGTTCAATCTGTTTAAAGGAGGGATTCCAGAGAGTGTGACAGCTTTGCCAAGACTCAGGGTGCTATGGGTGCCGAGGGCGGGCCTGGAAGGAACTCTCCCGAGCAACTGGGGAAGGTGTTCTAGTTTAGAAATGGTTAATCTGGGGGGAAATTTACTTTCTGGAGCAATCCCAAGGGAGCTAGGACAGTGCAGTAACCTCAAGTTTCTCAACCTTAGCTCGAATAGATTATCTGGTTTGCTGGATAAGGATCTCTGTCCGCATTGTATGATTGTGTTTGATGTCAGTGGAAATGAACTTTCAGGATCAATTCCAGCATGTTTGAATAAAGTCTGTGCATTTCAGCTGATGCTGGATGAAATGTCATCCAGTTATTCTTCACTCCTCATGTCCAAAACTCTACAAGAACTGCCATCGGGTTTTTGCAACTCTGGGGAGTGTTCTGTTGTGTATCATAATTTTGCAAAGAACAATCTCGAAGGTCATCTTACATCCTTGCCATTCAGTGCTGACAGGTTTGGTAACAAGACGACATATGTGTTTGTTGTTGATCACAACAAATTCACTGGATCGTTGGATTCAATTCTGTTGGAACAGTGTAGCAACTTGAAGGGGCTGGTTGTAAGCTTCCGAGACAACAAGATATCTGGTCAGCTCACAGCAGAGTTTAGCAGAAAATGCAGTGCTATCAGAGCTTTGGATTTAGCTGGCAATCAAATATCAGGAATGATGCCTGATAATGTTGGTTTGTTAGGAGCACTTGTCAAGATGGACATGAGCAGAAACTTTCTGGAGTGTCAAATACCTGCCAGTTTCGAAGACTTCAAGAGCTTGAAGTTTCTCTCATTAGCTGGGAACAACCTCAGTGGCAGAATACCATCCTGTTTGGGTCAGTTGAGATCACTGAGGGTTTTAGATCTCTCATCTAATTCTCTTGCAGGTCAGATCCCAAATAACCTTCTGACACTAAGAGACATCACTGTGCTTCTACTCAACAATAATAAGCTCTCTGGAAACATCCCTGATCTTGCCTCTTCACGTTCACTGTCCATATTCAATGTTTCATTCAATGACTTGTCTGGGCCACTGCCTTCAAAAATTCACTCACTGACATGCGACAGTATTCGTGGAAATCCATCCCTCCAACCCTGTGGACTGTCAACGCTCTCTAGTCCATTAGTGAATGCCCGAGCACTAAGTGAGGCAGACAATAATCCACCACCTGACAATACAACCCCTGATAGCAATGGTAGCGGTGGCGGATTCAGCAAAATAGAGATTGCCTCCATAACTTCAGCCTCAGCAATTGTTGCAGTTCTCCTGGCTCTGGTCATCCTTTACATTTACACACGAAAATGTGCATCAAGACCATCAAGACGTTCTCTAAGAAGAAGGGAAGTCACTGTTTTTGTTGATATTGGTGCTCCCTTGACATATGAGACTGTTTTACGTGCCAGTGGAAGCTTCAATGCAAGTAATTGCATTGGAAGTGGTGGCTTTGGAGCAACGTACAAAGCTGAGGTTGCACCAGGAAAATTGGTGGCAATAAAGAGGCTTGCTATTGGAAGATTCCAAGGCATTCAGCAGTTCCAAGCAGAGGTCAAAACACTTGGGAGTTGTCGCCATCCCAATCTTGTAACACTCATAGGATACCATCTCAGTGATTCAGAGATGTTTCTAATATATAATTTTCTGCCTGGTGGCAATTTGGAAAGGTTCATACAAGAAAGGAGTAAGAGACCAATTGATTGGAGAATGCTTCACAAAATTGCTCTAGATGTTGCGCGTGCACTTGCATATCTCCATGACAATTGTGTCCCACGCATCTTGCACAGGGATGTCAAACCAAGTAACATATTGCTTGACAATGATCACACTGCCTACCTTTCTGATTTTGGATTAGCAAGGCTGCTTGGAAATTCAGAAACACATGCAACCACTGGCGTGGCAGGTACTTTTGGGTATGTAGCTCCAGAGTATGCGATGACATGCCGCGTTTCTGATAAGGCAGATGTGTATAGCTATGGAGTTGTACTTCTTGAACTCATTTCAGACAAAAAGGCACTGGATCCTTCTTTCTCTCCTTACGGGAATGGATTCAACATAGTTGCCTGGGCTTGCATGCTTCTACAAAAGGGCCGAGCTCGTGAATTCTTTATAGAAGGGCTGTGGGATGTGGCCCCACATGACGACCTTGTTGAGATTCTACACCTGGGCATCAAGTGTACGGTTGATTCTCTTTCTTCTAGGCCCACAATGAAGCAAGTTGTTCGGCGACTTAAGGAACTCAGACCACCGTCATACTAGGAATAGCAAGCAGAGATTGGCTTCCTTCTGCAAATTGAGACCAAGGTATATAAACTAATTTTCCTTCCCATTTGCTGTCTAACTCTCTCGACCAAATAGTAACAAATTCCGATTATGATTAATGTACTGATGTAGTGATATTTAAATTCTTTATCATAAAAATGTTAGATCATTCTCTTGCACGTGATTGTGTTTTAGAAATCATGAACCTTTATAAATACAAGTGTCCCTTTGTGTCCCACCCCAGGAACAGAGCTCTGTGTATTCGTTGGGTTCAGCTGACCCGATGAAAATTTCAAATTCCATTTGAAGTTCTTTAAGGTTAGCAAATCACCCTTCTAAGTGAACCACAAGGTGTATTTGACCCAGTGGCTTAATATTCTGGCTCCACCCCTGTTCCTCCCTGAACTATTTTGAGTGAGTTTCCTGGACAGCTACGGTTCGATACTCCCCTCCTTAAAGATGAAGCCATGGGACCTGTGTTTGAGTAGCATTTTTTCTTCTTCATTCATTATATGAGGGATGTAATGCAGGACTTGTATTCTTGATCAGATGATTTGCTATTTAGCTAGTTTGTCTTGTAGATGACAGAAGATGAGCCATGAGCTGGATATAATTGTCACTTGCTGATAAAATGCAATTTTTTATAGTTATACTTACCTTTTCTTATGCACTTTTTTATTGATAAAATAACTTTACAAGTTTACATGTTCTGAATGTGTGTCATCAAAATTGAAATGTTCTGTTTTTTTGGGAATGTAGGCTGCTGGCTGTTTTGGTGACTGCAACAGCCAGTAATGTTCCAAACAAACTGGTGGCAAGCAATTCAAATGTCATTTCTCAACGGGTCAAGCAGGACATTCATGGTATTTAACCTTTATTGGTTATGTGGTCATGGATATCGCTTCAATGCCACTGCAAGCAAAGCATCGAGGATGTCTGAGGAAGTTCTTAGTTCTTACATGCCTGCCAAATCTGTAAGAAGACTTCTGATATCCCCAGATATCTGCCACGCTGTTGTTTCTTTTCGAAATTTTATTCGCACACTAAGGTCTCACCCAGCGACACCCTCTGTCTTTGTCCCTGTTCAGGATGACTGGATGAGGCATTGCCGACCCAGTTAACAGGATACATTTATATGCCTTGCTGTGCAATTATTTCGGTGCAACGAGCCTCGCTGCTCTCCTGATCGGAGATCGACCACCTTGAGTCATTGGAAAAACATATCTATCAAAGCAAAGCCATATATCTGGAAGTTATGGGGCGATCTGTCAGTGGAAAAGGCTTGGCCACTGACATGCGCGAGGACATGGAAGGATATAACATATCGCCAATCAAAGCAAAGCCATGTGAATTCATATTAAACATGGTGGTCCATATATATAGCAGTTAAAAGTATCAAATCACTGATTACCTCAGTCTTTGTAACTGTACAAACTACTTTCTTGGCCTTTGTAATTGTTCAATACTACTTTCTGGCATTCATTATGCAGGCATGCAGCTGTCTTGCCATTCTGTCCATACTGATAATAGCCGAAAATAATTTTATTTGCTCGATTTGCTTTGATGAGTGATTGCATCGATTTGCAAGCTGAAGGGCCGAGTGGTCGGAAATGTGGATTAAAAAAAAAAGGATGTGTTGGAGACCAGACAGGTTGAAAAATGTTGAATCGTGGATTTAACTCAGGGACCAGACAGAAAATGTGGATTTCAAGAAATTAAAAAATTACCTAATATCGACTCCGCTGGGGATCGAACCCAGAATCTCTGGTTCCGTAGACCAGCGCCTTGTCTATTGGGCCACGGAGTCAATGTTGAGTTCAAATGAACCATTCCTTTGGAAGCATGTTGGTTATCTAGCTGCTACTTTTTCAGTATTTTTGTGATCAAATACAAATACTTGATATCCAACAGGCAAACCATGGTGGACCAAGGTTTAAGAGATCAGCCGCGTTTTGAGGATACCTTAATACACGCATTGGTTAGGCTTAGACTTTACCTTGAACTACCATACAACTTTGTTGCAGGATTCGGGTGGGTTACAGTTTCTCAGAAGAGAAATGAATTAGTTACAATGTAAATTTCCATCACTCTTGCTGGCTCCTAATTGGAACTGAACTAGGTTCCTCTCCTGTCAGTGAACAAGACTAGCAGATTGCCACTAAAATCGGTGCTCATGGTCTGGACCCTTTGCATTTCTAAGCTTCATTCTCAAGTTTTTTTGCAGTTAATCCTCTAATGTATCATGACTCATGAGTTTGATGAGTTGTGAATAGTAAATGTGTAAGGTGTTACATATGTGTGCACTTGTTAATATTTCTCTTGTACGAAATAGAAACATCTTTCACTCAAATTATGTGAACAATATTTATTTGTATCATGGGTCACTATCATCATCATCATATTGTAAATGAGCAGTATTTGCTCAAATTGACAATTTTGTCCCTGGCATTTTACTGGGTTTTTCCATGCTTTAGATAAGCCTATATAGGTTTGCTCTTGTCGTGTGCACGTCTAATTTCAGACAAAATGTTACATGCTGTGGCAAAATGGTAACTTACTCATGTTTGTGTTAGGCATGTTAACCAAAATATCTCCTTATATATGTATTATTAATTATAGTTTTTTTTAACCTAAAATGTCACTTATAGCTTGGCTTCATTGGTGAAAGACGACGATAGAGCCGTGATCCTTGTTTCCCATTTTTAACATAACTTCTGACACATTCTCTAGCAACATACAAGACGTCTCTGTTTGGATTCACCCAACTAAAATTTAGCTAGCTAAAATTTCATTGCTAAACTTTAGCCAGTTAAAAGTTCTCCTAGCTAGACTTTAGCTAGGATGTTTCAATCCTCCAGCTAATAGACTCAGCTAAACTTTAGCTTGGTTTAGCTTAGCTGAAGTAGCTAAACTTTAGCTGGTCTTTTAGGATCCCTATCAACTAAATTTAGCCAACTAAAATTTATTTGGCGGATCCAAACATACCCTAAGAAGATGGATGCAGCTGTTTTGACGGAAGCGGTAGGCAAGGGTTTCGCTCAGGTTCAGGGACATCATGCAATTGCTGTTTCATTTTGCTTGGCATTCATTGGCTTGAAACACAATTGCTGCAGGAAGAAACCCCTGATGCACGTTGAGGCTTATACTTGTTGACTTTATTAGTATGGAAGATCTTGTGTGCATTTTTAGTGTTACTAGCTTCTTTCTGTATAAACACTCTGAAGCGTCTTTTCTGTATAAAGTTACTCAACGATTAACATATTACCATAGCTTCTCGTCCCGGTCCCGGCACTTGGAGTGGTAAACAGTTATTCTGTTGTGCGCAACAGAAAAATAACATATCTCCAGAGCTTTTTTTTGTGTGGATGTAGATAATTTCTCCAGGCCTGAATGTAAATGACATAGGCCCGGAGATACTATTTGTTACACGCGTACCTGTAACCTTGTAACAGTGCTGATATTCGTGAGCTCATAGGAAGACAGATACTATGGGTTAGGTGGGGGCATTCGAAGATGACCACTGGTAGTGGCAATGGCATCCATAACCTTGCATTGGAAAGTAAAATTCAGTGCCGGGAGCTCCATCAGATTCGGCTGCAAGCCTGCAACTTGAACTTACTACATCCGCAGGCTAATTTATCGCAGGATCCATTGTGACGAACCTGATGATCAATTACACCTGTTCCTGCGACTGCAATGTCCAAGCGCTACTCGTGTCTGGAGCTCGCCCAGCGCTTTCCAAGCCACACTCAATTAGCAATACAGAGAAACTTGCAGTTGCACTCAATTACCAATACAGAGAAACTCGCAGTTGTGCTTACAAGGCAATTCATCATGTGCCGCTTAAGGGCTATTTTGGATGTGGATTGGAAAATCCATCCCAATCCACTACAACATTGGATGTGGATTTGAAAATCCATCCCAATACGCTACAACACATCTGGATTGAGGTAAAGGCCTAAAGACTGGAGTCTGCTGCTAGTCCATACAGAGATTTGATGAGTGTGCAGCTGGGATTTGATCTGATAGAGCTTGTGCACCGGTGTCAGCATTGAGCAGCAGCGCAAGCATTGATTGGGGTTCTGCCAGTGCCCAACTTAACTTGGTTAATCACCACTCCTGAATTGATAATCGTGTGGAAGGAGACAGTTCTAGGGAAGCATGTGGTAGTGAGAGTCAGCGACGCATGAGACCTCAAGTCTCCCAGAATGAGAATGCGAACCATACATCTGATAAACCAAACAGTTCACCGGCTAGAAAATGTGTTCAAAATTGGAGTCACAGAAGGATAACACGGTTTACCACTCAAGATTATACTGTCACAAACTTTTACCAAACTACTTAAAACAATGGACGAGATGTTACACAAAACTGATAGAAAGCACAGCTTCTCAGTACTTGATCGGGGCAAGAATCTCCAGCTGAGATCCCAACTTATCCTCGGCTGTTTTCTCAGCCTTGACACGCAGCTTGGCCAGTTGCTTCCTCCTCTCATAGGCAACCTTGGCCTTCTCCTTCCTCTTCTCCTCAAGTTCCTGATAGAGCAAACAAGGGCGGTCAGAAATCACTACACAGTAGGGTAAATTACAATGTAAAAGAAAGAAACCATAAAACATCAGCAACTCCTACTGCCACTCTGAAGTGATCACATGAACTGAGTCTTTCTAATAGCAATGTGATGGGCCTCAGAGATCTTGGTGGTTAAGATCATCAAATGGGAACACCCATCAAGAGTAGCAAATATTTTGATCACATCATAGGCACATCACAATAAAAACAAATGAATGAATCGATTTAAATTTAAAGGAGTTAAGGTCATACAGAACCATTCGTATGATATGAAAATGGCGCATCACCATAACAAATGCATGTATCAAATAATCAATCAAGATGACACAAACATCAGCAAAAAGCATCAGATTTCCAAACCAGAGGCAAGTATAGTCTGAAGTGGCATGATTTTGTCAGAAGTAGCTGGTTGTTAAAATCATATTGTAAAATCAATGGGAATCCGATTGATTTTTCTTCATCATCCAGAATCATGCACATTTCAGCATAATATCTCAACCAAGATGAAAAAAGGCTATTCTAGCAACAAGAATTCAACAACAAATGTGAATAATTTCTCAGTAATAAAAGGTGTCCAGCACAGACGAAACTAAAGGAACTTCTAGTAATGCCTGAATCACCAATCATAACATCAGCACAAAAGGCAAGACAGTTCATTTCCAATTAGAAAAAGATACCAATCACCAGGCTAACCATAACATCAGCACAAAGTGTTCGTGAAAAACGATGCCACATACTTATACAAGAAAATAAGTGTGGGAAAACGCTTACCCTGATGGTGTCATGGTAGTTCCATCCGACCTCCTTAGAGAGCTCGCCGAGGAGGCAGTACTTGTGCCCAGGCTGCAGCCTCAGAACCCTACGAACCACAACAACATAACACCATCAGACACGAACATCACAAGCTAAGATCAACCAGCAATCAGTCTCGAACACTAATGAAAACACATACTTAAGAGCGTCAGGGATGACCACGCGCTTGGTCTTGTCGTACGGCGGCGGGACGCCCTCGTAGGTCTTGAGCCTCGCCAGAGCCGCCTCTCCCCTCTTGGTCTTGTGCGGAATCATACTGCAAACACAACCGCAGCACACATAAATCCCACAACACATCGCAAAAACAAAACCAGACGGATCCGGGCGGCGTTGCGTTGCTCACATACCCGCGGATGGTGCGCCACAGGATCTTGGCGGGGGCGCGGAAGTGGATGGGGCCGTGAGACGGCTTGGTGTTCATCCGCTTGCGGAGGAAGCGGAGGTACTTCATCTTCTGGCGGACGAGGCCGCCCGACATGCAGATCTCCTCGCAGCGGACGACGACCACCTTCTGCCCATTCAGCAGCTCCTTGGCGATAATAGACGACAGGCGTCCGAGCATGTGGTGGCGCGCGTCCACCACGATGCGCTTCGCGCACACGCCGGAACCGGAGACCATGGCGGCCTTACCTGTGAGGCGGCGGCGGCGCTAGGGTGGGAGTGGCTGGGGGAGCGGGTGAAGTGGAGGCGACAGGTGTTAGGGTTTCTCATTTATAGAGATCAAGGACAGGGTTCATTAATGGGCCAGGCCGTGGCAACGTTTCTCTTTGAAAGGCCCATGCCCGCTGTTGGGTGTGCGGAAGATGAGCTGTCTTTGGGCTGGTTGGAGAACACCGTCAGGGTTACTGGCTCACTTGCAATTTCTAATGCAACTGAAATGTTCAATTGATTGCATGGATTACCAGAGGGAATGTTCCTGCAATTTCAGGTAATACAAATGGGATGCAACTGAAATTTATCAATCTTGCAATTCCAGATGCAACTGAACTAATCCATATTGCAATTGGTCCATGCCTTTTAATTTAGGTAATGAAATTGGGATCACAGATGTCAATTAGGAGATTTTAAAATTGGAGCAGAATAACAATTTTGACTTATTACTTTCCCTTGCTACCCTTGCTTAGTATTGTGGGCTGTGGTTCAGTATTAATGAACACCAAGCCTGCATTATGTGGTTGTATAGAATATATATAAGCAGCAATTGTCACAGTATTCCTCATGTTTTAAAACCGTTGTAATTACGTATTAGTACTGCTGTATCAAAGCAGGAAGCCGAAATAGCAAACCTGTGCATATATTACTGTTTCGAAATTATGATCCAATACACTTGTACCTTTCTCCATGCCTCCATCTTGAATGATACATGCGTCTGTTTTGAAAAAGAAAATTTTTCGGTCTTTGCGACCGCATACAACCAAAGTGTTACATTATTTTGACAAAACATCCAATTTTAAGAGCAAAAATTTGACAATTGCTTGATCATAAGAGTTGGAATTGTCAAATGTGCATTCTCCATTTCTTCTCGTTGCTCCCTGGATCCCGGGCTGGCTCCAAGACTATTCGTCCTTTGTGGGGGAAGGAAGACCTTATCTGACTATGAACTTTCATCCATTCACTTCTTGAGACGTTTCATGGTCGAACTCCTAGCATGGACTTCTGCCAATGCTGTCGTGCTCGATTGCTTCCTGGAGCTCGGAGAACTCCACCATGATATTGTTTTCCGTTGCGATTTCCTTGACCACTTTCTTCTTCAGCTCCATGTTTGTTTTGTCGCCGGATAACTTCCACACCAACTGCAACGGTAACACAAACCAACCCTGTAAATGTTAGGAATACCTTTTGCCAGTTTCATATCCATGATAAGATATGCTAGACAAAGTTCATGCTAGTTACCATGGGATCGACAATGCCGGTTCCCTCCTTTGCAATCGCAGCCAAGTCGCTACCAAACTTGTCTTCCAGGATGGTGCGTGCGAACTGAAGCTCCGGCAGATCGCCGCACCACCTGGCTGCAAACATGATCCCAGCGGCCGCCTCCCTTATCTCCTTGCTGCACTCCCTGCACATGAAGCACAACACAGTAGTCATGCAACTGAAAAACAGGCGAGAAACCAAATAGAATAGCAGATCATGCCAAATGCTTCAAGCGATCAAGTTAAGATGCTAAGTACCATATGAAATGAACTTACTGCGGTTTGCCTAACTGCGTGGCATGCTCAACGAGTCGCTTGCAATAGAGCTCAATGATGTCGAACGACTGCAGCATGTTATCTTCCTCTATGACCTGCTCTGCCTGCACGGAGAAATCAAGGTTGCATTGGTTCGTTAGTGCTCCCGCGTTGGACGAGTACGACGCTTCATTTGATGTGTGTTTAGAGAGATCGTAGGTCCGTACGCGAAGGAGAGCACGGTGGAGGTAGCCGAGGGAGAGGAGCTGGCCGACATCGCTACGGCAGATTGACTTGCGAGCAAGGCGGGGACGGCGTGCAATGGCGAGGCGCGACAAGGCGAGCTCGAGAAGCTTCTTAACCCTCGAGGTCTGCTTGGAGGTCTTCCCATGGAAGAATCCCATGGTGATTATGGTGGATCGCCGGATCGGTCGTTCCAGCTGCCTGCCGTTTCACAGTCTTCCTGGGGTCTTGGTGTCGTTGGTGTCTTTCTTGTATATGTAATGTAAACACTGGGGTTTAGCTTTCGATTCAGTCTTTTGCTTGATGTTGATGGAAAGGAATGGGAAGAAGGCGACTTGCTAGTGGATTGATCTGAAGTCTGCCATGGGGGAACGAAGATTTTATAGGGCCATCTAGTAAGTAGTAACCGTGGCAAGGCTAAGTTTACTGTGTCTAAAACGAGCTCGTTTTGCATTTGCATGTTCAGAGCCTTGTTGCAAACTTGCAACACGTGCCTGAACAAGGGTAGTAAGCCAAACGTGCACAAAGTTACTGGTGGTAAAGCAAATAAAACGTGCAAAACATTTACAAGGATAAACCAAAATGGAGCACGGAAAAAACAGTGCAGTTTAGCGCCTGATATTTGTAAGCTGTCCTGTGGTTAGCTAGTTTTCACTGTCAATTGGACAGTTTGATCTGATACCTTTCATAGAGCCTGCAATTTAAACTGATGTCACAGAAACCCTGTAATCTTCAGTACAGGGATACAAGCAAACTACTCCGAGAAGATCACTCTATACTTAAGAGCATGATCTTTGACCGTGGATAACTACGGAACTCCCAGAAAAAGCAGTGATCCTTGGGTGTTCAAGCACAACATGTCAAGGGTGCGCGATCTCTATCAGCAATCTGAGCATAGAAGTTCCAATGCGGATCGCTCTCAGTAATGAAGGGTTGACCAAACGGATTATTATGAACAAAATGCTCAACATCATCTGCTGCGGCTAGGTTCTGCAGATACACACGAAGGTCTCCACCGGGACCTGCTTACGAGGAATTGAAACTTAAAGCATGAATAAGCTGTAGTAAGGTATAGGTAAAGCATCATAATGATGAGCACATACCCAGTGAATTGTCATTCCAGTTCAAGTAACTGTAGGAGAGAGGAAAAAATTGCAGTATATGGCTGCACAAGATAGACAAAAGCAGTTGTGTGTCATATTCAGTATAAGTGAACGTTGAAAAGCTTGGCATATAGGAGATGTTGGACAAATACAGGATTGCGCAGAGCTTTGTAAGGAGAATCATCCACTAGTAATGTATTTGAAGGTGAATAGTCCCCCTCTTCCCATGGAAGATCTGGTTCTTCCATGTTCCATAGTTTTCTCAATTCCTTCAGCACTAATGGTTTGTGCTTATTCTCTAGTGTTTTGTGTCCGGTGAATGTGCATTTAGACAAGTCCTGGACATATTAAGGCCATAAATAAATATATTAGGAGCAAAGAAAAACTCAGAAAGAGAACAAGCATTTGTTTAGTTGACCTACCCAACAAAACAGTAGGCGCGGTTTGAATTCACTCATAACAATATCAACAACCGAAGCAACATTTTCTCTGCACAAATTAGAATGCCACAATAAGTACCAAGTAAAACAAAATAGGAAATCCAAAATGGAGAAAGATGAAAAGAAATCATACTTTTTTCTTGAGGACCATATGCCTAGCTCAAAATTCAGGGCACAGAAGTTGAGAAAATCATCACACTAAGGCCTTTGGAAGACTGATAAAAGGAATATATTATCATATCATATATAAACATCTTCAACCACATTCTGGATCAGCAATGTGTCAAATAATAACTATAGGTGATAATACTAGAAATTTCACCTAATTTTCTTCGAACCTTGGCATCAACCATGTGAGCATTGTGGTAGTCTTCGTTGATATCCGCAAGTAAACCATTAAGATCTAAAATGAGAAGCTTTTTCTTCGGTAACCCTAAGGACTTTCCCGGTGAAAAGACAAGTTTGAGCTTTTCCATATATTCCTCAGCCAAATGGGAAGGGATCAGGTAGTTAACATTGTGACTGCTTGACGAACATGCTAAGTCTTGCTCTTGCAATCCATTTCTCACCACATTTGTGCAGTCCAAATTATTCTTTGCCAGCCCATGCCTATTTTCAAAGTTGTTGTCCAAACTGTAGAAAATGATAGTGAGTGCCGATCACTCTTCCATTGATCTCTCTTTGGTTTATATGTGTTACAACATGCGTTGCTCATTTGGCAACCGCTAGTTTACATCGTGGGCGAGTGGATGCCCGCGCCATGCGGTGGTCACCGTGTTCCGTCTTCGGTCAGCAACAACGGTCGGCGTGGTGACTCTGGCGGTGTCCCTTAACACCCCCCCCTGCAGTCTGATGGGTGAGTGACGCTGGACATGAGATCCCCCGTAGTTGAATGTTGCAGTGGCGCTACACAAAGACTGGACCGAAAACGCTCGAAGGTCGCCGTCAGGAGGCCTTTTGTCAACACGTCCGCGAACTGTTGGTCAGTGGGCACATGGAGAACGAGCAGTTCGCCCAGCTGAACACGTCCCCGAACAAAATGAATGTCCAGCTCGATGTGTTTCGTGCGCTTGTGATGTACCAGATTCGACGACATGTAGACGGCAGAGACGTTGTCGCAGAACACCACGGTGGCCTTGTTGATGTTGCACCGAAGTTCACCGAGCAATTGGCGTAGCCAAATGCACTCGGCCGCCGCATTTGCCACCGCCCGGTACTCTGCCTCGGCGCGGGATCGGGAGACCGTGGGTTGGCGTTTGGAGGACCACGACACGAGGGAGTCGCCGAGGTACACACAGAACCCGGATGTGGATCGCCTGGTGTCGGGGCAGCCGCCCCAATCCGCGTCAGAGTATGCGGTGATGCTGAAGTCCGGCGAGGCGCGAAGGAGCAGGCCGTGCGACGTTGTTCCGCGGATGTACCGCAGAATGCGCTTGAGGAGCGCCAGGTGAGGCATGCGGGGATCATGCATGTGCAGACACACCTGCTGGACGGCGAAGGTGATGTCGGGCCTGGTCATTGTCAGATACTGAAGGGCACCCGCTAGACTGCTGTAGGAGTGCGCATCGTCGACAGCAGGACCATCGGCTGCAAGCTTGCCTTTGGCGTCGGTCGGCGTGGTGACTGGCTTGCAGGAAGTCATGCCAGCACGCTCAAGAATGTCCTCGGCATACCGGTTTTGAGTGAGATAGAAGTCTTCCTTAGTGCGCTTCACATCGATGCCGAGGAAAAAATTGAGAGCGCCCATGTCCCGACCAGCAAACTCGGAGCGGAGCTTGTCAACAATGTGACAGAGCAGAGCAGAGCTAGAGCCGGTAAGCACGATATCGTCGCCATAAAGAAGAAGGTAGGCAGTGTCTGCTCCTCGGTGAAGAACAAAGAGGAAACCGAGCTGGATGACAAACGCTGCAAACCTAGTGTACCAGGCGCGCGGAGCCTATTTCAGGCCGTAGAGAGATTTGTCGAGTAGGCATACTACTTCCGGGCGAGTAGTATCAACAAACCCGGGAGGTTGTTGACAGAGGACGTGTTCCTAAAGATGACCGTGAAGAAAAGCATTTGAGACATCTAGCTGTTTAGTTGGCCAGCACCGCGAAGCCGCGATGGTGAGAACAGTCCTGATGGTGGCCGGTTTCACCACCGGAGAGAAGGTTTCCCCAAAATCGACACCAGCCCGCTGAGTGAATCCCTGGACAACCCAACGTGCCTTGTATCGTTCCAGTGATCCATCCGAATTCAACTTGTGTTTAAAGATCCATTTCCCGGTGACAATGTTTGCACCTAGAGGATGATCGACGAGGCGCCAGGTGCGATTGCGCGGAAGGGTTTCATGTTTGGTAGCCATGGCATGGCGCCAGTTCGGATCTTGCAATGCTGCCCGAGCAGATTTCGGGACAAGAGAGGCGTAGGACAATGCCGTGTTTTTCACAGTGGCTGCGTAAGGCATGGTTATCGAATTCCCTGCCGTTGTCAGTCTGAAAGGCAAGAAGAGGAAGACTGAACTAGGTCTGAACATAGGCGTGGAAAGCCACCAGACAGTGAAAAACATCAGATTTTGCACGCAGTGGGAAGGTCCAAATGTAATGAGTGTAATCATCAATCAATACCAGGTAGTATTTGAATCCAAAAAAGCTAGAAATAGGTGATGTCCAAACATCAGCGTGCACAATTTAGAAAGGAACATAGCTGACTGAAGAAGATGAAGTAAAAGGCAGCCTAACATGCTTGCCAAGCTGACAGCTATCACAGACAGACGCTAGTTTACTAGGAACAAATTCTAGATAACTCAAGGTGTGCTGGAGGGTGCGACGTCCTGGATGACCAAGTCGTTCATGCCACAAATCGACGGTGGGTGCCAAGGTGACGAGTGCCTCTGTGGATGACGAATGCAGAGGCAAAGGGCAAAGGTCGCCATGGCTATTACATCGGAGGAGCACCGTTTGTGTTGGAAGATCCTTGATAGAAAAACCAAAAGGGTCAAATTCAACACTGACATTGTTGTCCCTAGTAAGGCTACGAACAGAAATGAGATTTTTGACGAGAGAGGGTGACACAAGAACGTCGTTGAGTTTGAGTGGAGATTGAGAGGTGGGGATGACAGTGGAGGCACGATGAGTGACGAGCATGGTCGTGCCATTGCCGACGGTGATGGGCAGAGAGTTGAGAACATGTTGGGGGGAAGGGAAATTACCAGCATTTGATGACATGTGAGACGAGGCGCCTGTATCGAGGAACCACTCGGCGGTGTGAGGCCCCGTCGGAGGAATGTTCGCTGTGGCCAGAGCAGCGAGGAGGGCCTGATGGTTCCAGACGTCCTGCGTTGGCGAGGAGGCATTGTAGGCACCGGGATCCAGTGGCGCCTGACCGGTGAAGTAGGCATGATGAGAAGGCGTGCCTGGACGTGGACCGAGTACACCGGCGCCAGGTGCCCGGAACGGCATATGCCACGCCTGGACCATGCCGGTCCAGGGGGTTACGCCTGGTGTCCAAGCCGACGGACCACGGGGAGCGGAGGAGTTGCCACCTTGGTGCTGCTGGTTGTAGCCACGGTCACGACCGCGGCCACGATGAAAGGTCCTAATATGGCTAGAGGGGGGGGGTGAATAGCCTATTTAAAAATCTACAAATCAACTAGAGCAATTTGATTAGTATGACAAATAGCGTAATGCAAACTTGCTCTAACTCTACAAGGGTTGCAAGCCACCTATCCAACAATTCTAGTTGCAATGAATACTTAGGCACACAAACTAGCTATGTAATTACTCACTAAGAGCTCTCAACCATGCTACTCTAAAGAGCTCAACTAGATGAATGTAAATAATAAAGCAAGCTCTCAATTCTAATTACACTAAAGAGCTTGTATTAACTAGTTTGCAAGAATGTAAATGAGCGAGTAGAGTGATTATACCAACGTGTAGGGGATGAACCAATCACAAGATGAATATATAGCCAATCATCGGGAGAATGACAAAGAAGAGAGACAATCGATTTTCTCCCGAGGTTCACGTGCTTGCCAACACGCTTACGTCCCCTGTTAGTGTCGACCAACACTTGGTGGTTCGGGCGGCTAAGAGGTGTTTCACAAACCTCGTCCACACGATAGGACACCGCAAGAACCGACCCACAAGTGAGGTAACTCAATGACACGAGCAATTTACTAGAGTTACCTTTCGGCACTCCGGCGGGAAGGTACAACTCCCTCACAATCACCGAAGGCGACCACGAACAATCACCAACTCGTGCCGATCCTTCACCGCTGCTCCAACCGTCTAGGTGGTGGCAACCACCAAGAGAAACAAGCGAAATCCGCAGCGCAACACGAATATCAAGTGCCACTAGATGCAATCACTCAAGCAATGCACTTGAATTCTCTCCCAATCTCACAATGATGATGGATCAATGATGGAGATGAGTGGGAGGGCTTTGGCTAAGCTCACAAGGTTGCTATGTCAATGAAAATGTGCAAGAGTTGTCCCTTGAGCCGGCCATGGGGCTATAAAAAGAGCCCCCATCAAATAGAGTCGTTATACCCCTTCACTGGGCAAAACGCGTTCTGACCGGACGCTCCGGTCAGACTAACCGGACGCTGGCTCTCAGCGTCCGGTCGCTCGATGTCACCCACGTGTCCAGACTCAACGGTCATCACCTCGACCGGACGCTTGCTCCTTGAATCGACCGGACGCCGAAGCCCCAGCGTCCGGTCGTTTCAATAAAGCTCCCGAGGCGTATTTCTTCGACCGGACGCGTCCGTCCACCTTGACCGGACGCAGACAGAGCGTCCGGTGCTCAACCCCTAGCCATCAGTACATTGAAGTCAGTACCGACGACGCAGCAAACGACCGGCGTCGGTGCTTGATTCAAAGTCCGGTCCACAGACCGACGCCAAAGATCATCATTCGATCAACTCCATTTCAACTCTTACTTCTTCACCCTTGCTCAAATGTGTCAACCACCAAGAATTTTGCATCCGGTGCAATAGAAAATAGACATTTCATTTTTCCAAAAGCGCGAATCCGCCTCATGATGTCCTGCGGGAGGGAAGAGGGACCTTGTGTCTCAACCCCGCAAACACCTTGTGCACATGTGTTAGCATATTTTCACAAATATTTTCAAGGGTGTTAGCACTCTACTAGATCCTAAATGCATATGCAATGAGTTAGAGCATCTAGTGGCACTTTGATAACCGCATTTCGATACGAGTTACACTCCTCTTAATAGTACGGCTATCTATCCTAAATGTGATCACACTCACTAAGTGTCTTGATCACTAAAACAAAATGGCTCCTATATTTTATACCTTTGCCTTGAGCCTTTTGTTTTTCTCTTTCTTCTTTTCCAAGTTCAAGCATTTGATCATCACCATGCTATCACCATTGTCATGATCTTCGTCATTGCTTCATCACTTGGAGTAGTGCTACCTATCTCATAAACATCTTGATAAACTAGGTTAGCACTTAGGGTTTCATCAATTAACCAAAACCAAACTAGAGCTTTCACACGACCGCGGCCACGACCGCGGCCACGGCCGCCCTTGGTGTTGTAGCGAGGGGCCAATCCGCTGGTGATGGGCGGTGGCGGCTGAGCACTGCTGGATCTGCCGTCGGAAGGAGCAGGTGGCCTGGAGCCGCCGGTGGCGAGCAGGGCGTGCTGGGCAGAGGTCTTGGCGTGCTCCTTGTCGTACTGTTCCTCTAGGAGAAGATAGGATCTCGCCGAAAGGAAGGTGTGCGGCGGTTGGCGCGAGGTGATCGCCGGGATCACGTGGCGGTACTTGGAACTGAGCCCGCGCAACATGTTGAGGACTTGGCTCGTCTCGCGCACCGGCTGGCCGACGTCGCGGAGAGCATCGGCGAGCTGCTTGAGGCGCCCGGTGTACTGGGTGATGTCCATGTCGCCCTGCACCAGATTGCGGAACTCCGCCTCGAGGTACACGGCGCGATGCAGCTCGTTGTCGCGAAAATTGCTCGCGGATGGCTCGCCAGATCTGGTCACGCAGAAGTTTGGGTGCGCGGACGATGTTGCGCGCGCCTTGGCGATGGAGATGTAGAGCCACCGACGATGCAATCATGTCGACATTTCAATCCAATCGTGGTCGTGGCGCTGCTCAAGGGTGGGCGGAGATGAGATGTGGGAGACAAGATTGAACTTGCCGAGAAAGGCGTCGAAGAAACAGCGCCATTTGTCATAGTTGGGATTGGCGAGTTCGAGAACGATAGGAACATGGGATTTTATGTTAACGGTTTGAAGGACGGCGACGGGAGGAGGAGAGACGGCGGAAATGGCGGCGCCGGTGTATGATAGGCCGTCGAGGGAGGAGTGGGAGGAGGAGTCGCCGTCGGAGCCATCGGCATCGAAGAGAGGATTGAGGTCCATGAGGAGGGAGGAAGAAACGGAGATGGGAAGGCGCTGGCGAGCTGGCCGCGGCGGGGGCGAGCGGTTGGATCAGGGATGAACCAGCTGATACCATGGAGAAAATGATAGCGAGTGCCGATCACTCTTCCATTGATCTCTCTTTGGTTTATATGTGTTACAACATGCGTTGCTCATTTGGCAACCGCTAGTTTACATCGTGGGCGAGTGGATGCCCGCGCCATGCGCGTGGCCATGCGGTGGTCACCGTGTTCCGTCTTCGGTCAGCAACAACGGTCGGCGTGGTGACTCTGGCGGTGTCCCTCAACACAAACTATTCGTTCCCAGTTCACAGCTCTTTTCAATAGCGCCTTCCAAATTCACAGCAAATGGTCCTGATTTCTTTGCATTGTTGACTAAAACTAAGTTAGTCATGGGTGCCTTCTTCTGATCTTGCTTCTTCCTCTGTTCCTCTGGTTTAAGACCTGAAATACAGTTCTCAGAAAGGAACATCATCAAACCAGAATTATCAGCAGAAGTTGGTGCAGGAGAATCCTGTGAAGTAGCCTTTTTGCGACGATTATGCCTTTTCCCGCCTCTTTTTTTCCTTCTCCTTCTTCCCTCCTGTAAACTGCTGGAGTTGAGAGAAGATACATTTTCATTTTCCTTATATTCTTCCGACTTCTGCAAAGAGAGGTGGCCATTCTGGTATACTTCTTCCAGGTTCCCTGGCAAATCGGCACTCTTCATCTTGTGATAATCCATATCAGTTCCTCGTGCAGTGCAACTATTAATCGGGTACCTTACATCGGATCTTTTAAATATCTTGCTCCTTGAGGCTTCATTTTCTCTGATAGAATGTTCACGGCGGGCAAGAGAAGAGCAGGCAGCACCATCAGCCGCAGAATCTTGTAGCGCCTTATTCCCAGCCTGAAAATTTCTCTTTCTTGTTTTATTCACAGCGGCGCGGCCATGAAGCCTATCCATGGCGGATGGCGCGGCGCGGCACGCCAAGGCAGTAGCGGCATACCTGAAACGGGGGACGCAGCTGGTGCTTCGTCCGCCGCCGCAGCCGCGCGGGCGCTCCGATCACACCGTCTCCGAGACCTCCGCCGGTTCCTGCCCCTCGTCGCCGGCGTGGCAGCAGCGCCGGCCGGAGCCACCGGGGCTGTGGCCGCTGCGTTCTGCGGCTCCACGGCCAGCACGGCCGCACTGACCCCCGTTGCCGTGGCTGCAGCTGCGGCTGTCCGCTGCCTCTGCCGGCGGCGCCGTCGACGGTCCCACCGCTTGGACGCCGCGCTCCTCGCCGGCGGCGGGTCCATCCGATCTAGTTCACCGAGGGAGACCCCGAAAAGGAAAGGGGCGGCGTCCGGGCACTGGGCACAGGTCAGAAGGCACGGTAGGTATGACGCGTTAAAGAGAGCCTCTCGTGCTCTTCCCCGAGGTCGAGACTCGAGAGCGCAAAGTGGACGGGCCAGGCGTGCGCGTACGAACTGCGAAGCCGAGGGAATGGTTCGAGTCGGCACAGCTTTTTGTCCCCAGATGAGACGGTTTACACGAACCGTGTGCCGTCGTGCGGCACATTTCCTTTTCTCTCTCTCTCTCTCGAGATACGTGCATACAGTGTACCGGTCCCGAACGTGAGAGCCACTGTTTCACTCTTGGAGCACAAGTTTAGGTACAATTTAGTTGTGGTATATAAAAAGAAAAAAGAAATAACACTAGGGCAAATGTTGTCAGTAGAAACCGATAAATGGTTTCCATAAACAAGAAATTTCCAAAAACAACATGTACGACAAAAAAAATGCTTAGGAGATAGAAGAACATGACAAGTAATAACCGTCGCAAAGGGGCTACATTAATTTTAGCTTTTACGAACATGATATGTAACCGTCGCATCAAGGATCGTCTCTACGTATAAATTATAGCTTTATATAATTTCACCAAATCTTGAGCTTAAATCAGCTAATGTTTCTTATCAATGTACACGTATATGGTAGTCTATGAGTGAATGTTATGCATATGGGCCATTGCACGAGTAATTGGGGTGCTATGCGCTACGATAGCTGATGGAGGGACAAATAGGGATGGGTGGAAGTTGGGACTAACACTCTACTACCACATAAAGAAGGAAATACGGAGACAAGCACATGTACTAGTCTGCAGCCTGTTCTGTTGGGGCCGAAATGATCGTATACGATCGTGGATTCTTACTGCTGGCTGATTTGGTGTGAGAGAAAAATACTGTTCTGGCTGGAAATTTACGATCGTTTACGACCAAGCGAACAGGGCGCTGATCGAACAACATCCCATTTTACTTGCAATTTCTACGAAAACGCATTATCTTAATAAATAGAAAGACCTATTGTCATTCTAAAGGGAAAAATAGATTATCTATGAAAATGGAAGCATTATTTCGAGATGAACTAATAATTTCATATTACAAATCTTAATATATTTGTAATGTTATTAGTGGTCAAACTCTATAAAGTTTTACTATACACATCGATCCCTCATCTACTTGAGAACGGAACAAGGAGTTTGTTTCAACACGTTTAACGCTTTTTAGGGGCGGCAGCTAGTCATATATAATCGAAATCTCAAGGCACATCATGCTTTCATTTCATGTTTTGAAGAGATGTTTTAGATAGAAACAACAACGAATGTCACTCAGGTACACAACGTCGTTGTGTAACGAAGTGATGCAACTCGGATCCGCTTAGTGCACCAGCAAGAAATTAGCACAGCATAAACACAAACTCCTGCCAATTAGCCATATGTGTAGGACTAGCCAATTAGCTAGGCACTCCTGCCCCCAACTGTAGCATCGTGTGATATCAATGGTTTCGCGTGATTCGCAGTGGCATACATCAGGATCAAGGTTACATACAACTTCAGTGGATTCAAATGAACTGTGGTCTGCCTAATATAAGGAGCGGGGGTACTGCTTGGGTTCGGCTTCAATTTCGCTGGCCTCGTTGATGCTGCTGGTGGCCTCAAACTTCGGCCCTTGCAGCTGCCTCTTCACCAAGGCTGTGTATATGCCGTTGTGGTCCAGGAGTTCGTCGTGTGTGCCGCTCTCCACGATTAGGCCGTCAGAGATGACGGCGACGGTGTCAGCAGTCTTGACGGTCGAGAGCCGGTGAGCTATCACAAGGACAGTCCTCCCTTTCATCAAGGAGTCCATTGCATCCTGTGGCACATGTAGGGGAAAAACCAACGTCACGTTCCAGCTCGCCAAGCAAGAAACAAAGCACATTTGACTGATACTATCACAGATGGGTTGCAGTTAAGAGTGATGTTTGTTTCTTGCTGGCACCAGCAGTTTAGGAGATGGCCGTTCGTGCTTACCTGGACAAGATATTCGCTTTCAGCATCCAGGGCACTGGTAGCTTCATCCAGGAGAAGCACTCGTGGGTTCATAAGCAAAGCTCTCGCAATGGCGATCCTCTGCTTCTGCCCGCCGGATAACCTGATCCCTCGCTCGCCAACGACAGTCTTATATTGGTCGGGAAAACTGCATATGAAGTTGTGTGCATTCGCCATTTTCTGCATCAGAGAGATAGTTGATAAGGATGTACAATCCTGCAGTCGTGCACTAGTGTTTCTGAATGCAGATACTTACAGCTGCACTCTCAACGTCAGCAAAGTCCGCTTTGCCCTCTAATCCATAAGCAATATTCTCTTCGATGGTGCAGTTAAAGAGTGTAGGCTCCTGACTGACTATGCTTACCTGAAATCAGTCCATAAACATTTGGAAAAAAATAAGGATATTCTACTTGCCAGAACAATAATCTCATGGTAAACTGCACTATTGTAGAGCTCATATAGCACAACTTTTTCAAGGACTTCCATTTAACTCTAGCAAAATCTGGATTTGCTTGTTGGTTTGTGAACTGAATGTTGAGCATAATTACAATTTGGATTTTTTTCCAATTAATAATCTGAAAAACCATGAAAGAAATATTATTTTTTCGGAAAAAGGACACATGGCTGTTTAAAATAGGCATGTCATGATTAAAATCGACTGGAAATAGAAACCTATAGGTTCTTGTTCAAGCTACAGATTTAGATGGGTGGTTGCTTCTTTTTTTCAACACTCAGGACTCAGCATTGCATAGTACAGACTATAGAATTATAAGTGCTCATTACTAGTTGAATTTTGAACAGATGATGATAATGCTGGTTTGAGTTACCAACCAAAATACTTTCACATTCCCCAATTCACCAAATTTCATACCAGTGCTACTCCAAATTACTGTTTAGGGCTTGTTTGTGTTGAGGTGGATTGAGGTGGAAACTAAACTAATTTCCACTCTAATCCACCTCAACACATGTGGATTGATGTGAATAGCATCCAAACAAGGCCTTAAAGTAGCCAAAATTACTGGATTCACCAGAATCCAGATTATTAGGTGGAACAATGAAATGAAATTTTGGCACAAATGAAAGGATCGAACTAGCTATAGTCAGTTCAGGACAATAACGTATCATCAATTCATCATCCACCAGAATTGTGAACCTTGCAACACTACCCTAGCTTAGATAATATTTTTTCCACAATATAACTAGAAAATAGTTGCATGGCATACCTTGCTGTGAAGATATTGATGCGAAATTTCTACCAATGGTACTCCATTAAGCAATATCCTTCCCTTTAGAGGGTCATAAAACCGCTCAATCAAATTTGCTATTGTGGTCTGCAAAAGTTAATGCTATAATTGAGGCTGCAGTTTGAAGTCACTTTCTACTTTAAGATGAAGTGTGTCATGTAATTAGTATGGGCAAAAAAAAAACTTACTTTACCACCACCACTTGGGCCAACAAGTGCAACCTTTGAACCTGGAGCTAACTTTAGCGTTATTCCCTGCAATATTGTTGATAGCAAGCATAAGCATAACTACAATGCTCCCATGACGAAAACTAGCCACTAGCACAACAAATATTATTCAAGCAAATGTCCTCACAAAAAAAAATTCAAGCTAATGATGAAGTTCCCATATATGTCATCCTAAAAAGTTCCATATGAACCAGTCAAAACACAATGTTTTTGAAACAAAAGCTAAGTTAGAACTTTTGTTAATGTTGTAATGTGAACTCGTGTATGCCGTTATATTTTTTTTCCTTGTAGAGTGAAAAGGGCTAGAGCTCTGCCTACAGCCCTACATTAAAGTACACAGACTAATATAAGAGTAAACAGAGTTGGCACTCGACAGCCCCAACTGCGTTCACAAAATTGCAATGGCCTTCTCACCTGGGATCACAGAGGAATGAACTACAATAAAACAAAACGTGGAAAAACACAATGGAATGGATTGTTATTCCTTTAAAAAAGAGAGCCCACTAATCAGGTAACCCAGAAGAGCCCACAAGAATTTTTTTTGAAAGTAAAAGGCAGGAGCTCTGCCTCTCAATTAAGTAGTGAAAAGAGGTTTATGTACACATGACACCTAAGGTGCCAAAACACCGTGGTCCGAAGACCAAGAGCCCACAAGAATATGGATGGAAGCTGGAGCAAGCTAAGCTCCTAGTTTCTCTTTACATATACACTGTTTATATATAAGAAAGGAAAATGACAAATCTGGTAAATGGCCATGTCAGTTGCAGAGTATTCTGGGAGGTACCTTAAGAATCATATGAGAAGGGCGAGAAGGATATGCGAACCAGACATCATCAAGCTCAACTTCCCCATCCTTTTCACTAAAAAGAAAAAATGAATGGTCATTAATTAAAGGTACTGCGCACTGCTATTGAATAAGCAGAACCACTCTAGAAAGCTGATAGACAAAGAAACTAACTTTATTGGACATTTGTCCCCAGAGTTCGTCATTGAGGAAACACGGTCCAGAAGTTGAAAAACTCTACGGCTTGCACCAGAGGCTTTCATTACAGTTGTGTATAGTCCTGACAAGGCAGATACTGACGAACCAACTGCATACACAAGAAATTGAATTGTTCATAAATATCAATAAACCATAAACTATACATTTAAAAAACAATGTGCCAACCTGTGTAAACAACGCTTATATGCTTCCTTTAAAATTTACAGTGACAAAATCAGGCACGATGCTAGGTTCAGTATAAATACTGTTAAGCTGGAAAGTACCTGTAAGGCTGTATAAGATGAATGATGTAAGAGAACCAGTTGTCATGTAGCCATTGATGGTTAAGTTGGCGCCATAAATAACAACAATAACCACTGACAAGGTTGATGCGGCATTAAGCCCTCCAGAAAATAAGCCAACAACTTTCTACAAATGATTTGCATTGAATCAGACCATTAATTTATGGAATGTGGTGCTATTTTACATGAATGGTAGGGCACTCACAGCTTGTTTCAGACCAAGTTTAAGTGTCTCCTCTACTTTTCCACCATAGCGTGAAATCTCATGAGATTCCTGAGCAAAGGATCTTACTGTGCGGATGGCACCAAACGATTCCTGAATGGTAGTAGATAGACTTATATCAAGGCATAAATAGAAAGGAAAAACGATTCTGTTATATGCATGCAATCCAAAGTCAAAACATCAATTTGCTTCTTTTTGGTGACAGTAACCAAATAAAGGGTTCGCGGAAACCTCCTCACATGTCCATTAGTCAATCACAAGCCACAAGATGCTCTGGTATACAAACCTCAGCTATGGATGAAGCTACAGCTGCTGCAGCTTGTGTCTGATGTGAAAGCTCACGAAGAAAGCGTCCAAATTTACGCACAGCAACTGATATAACGGGGACAATTACAAGTGCCAGCACTGTGCAGATAGCAACCAATGAGATTGACTTGATCATATGCAGAGGGTTTACACAAAATTAAAGAAAAATGCTCAAATAAATGTTGATGGTTTGACAATTATCACATGCTCAGCCATGTTCCTTTGTGAAGTTCAGCTAAGCATATAAAGCTTCTGTGCACAATAGCCTTCCAAATAAGAATAAAATGCCAACTGAGTTCTATATATAGAGTACAAACATATTACTTACATGTTAACTTCCATGAAGTTGAAAACATAAAACCAAGACCAATAGCTGTAGTAGTGACATTGCGCAGTGCCTCTGATAGGTTGGTTGTAGCAGCATTCTTTATTATTTGTGTATCTTCAGAAAGCCTGCTTAAGAGCTCTCCTGTTCTAGTCACATCAAAAAACGCTATTTCCTGCGGTGGCACAATTCTTACTAGTAAGAATGTCGCTGTATGGAGAACTATACGTGATAAACTTTGGATAGAAGAAACTTGCTTGCCTGGTTTATGAGATGACTGAACAAGTCCTTCCTTAGTCGAGCGACTACTCTCTCACTAGCAGAATTGAATAGCCATGCCCGAAGAGCCGTGCAAACTGAACTGAAACAAGGTAAGACATGGTTTTTAATGATTCAAAGCATCCGCCAAAAAAAAACCAACTCGGTATATTACATAAGCAGAACCCTGTTTTCTAAATGAGAAAGTATCTGTTCAAGAAAAAAATTTGAAAAAGTATTTAGTGAATATGGTTTAATTAGTACAAAATAAGATTGTGGCATAACTCAGATCCAGTAAACATAAAGTGAATAAACAGAAGATTGTAAAGTTTCAGTATACAGCATCCTGATGATTTCTCATAGTCAATTTTTCAGAGAAAGAAAGATACCCGACTAAAACGATTGTCACAATGTACAAAATTGTGCCCTTCACATCCTCCAGGGCTTGCGTCTTATCTTCTGGTAGCCGAACATCTCTTGACACAATGTCAATTATCTTGCCACCATATTTCGGCTGTAGGACATCACAAGACGATCCATGCATTACAACATGAAAACAAATGTTTCATGAGTCATGACCTCTTCAAGAAAGAAAATAACAATTGCCCTGAAAGTGGTTGTATTCTACTCATCACTGGACACTGATTCATACTAGCAACAGTTTGAACAAAAGCCTCTAAATATCTAGAGACTCGACTTATTTCAATTCCACCAAGACTTGTGGTGCTAGCTGAATTTAATTCAACATACATGCTAATTGCTAACAGAGGAACCAGATTTCTGCATGCTGTGCTCAAGCCCTCATGAAGACAGGAAAGGCTTACCGCTATCCTTGTTCCAAAAAGTGAAAAGGTTACCCAAAAAAAAAAATTTAGCATCGATAGTTTTCTTTCCAACAAGTGGCAGGTACCTACAACGAGAAGGTTGCTGAGGGAGGCGACGAGCAGCGCCATAGTGGCGAGGACCAGCTTCCCGGCGTCATGCTTGGCCTGCAAACCCGTGCTCATCAGTTCAGCATGACCAGCATCACCACAAGAGAAAGAGCTAAAAATCGAAGAGAGAAGCGCTCACTCACAAGTTTGATGACCCGACAGAACCCGACGTTCGCTGGCTGAGGTACAAAATAAAAAAAAAGGCGAGGATTAGTTATTATGCAGCCGGCGGTTGTAATTCAGAGGTTTGTCCTTGTGCGGCAGATGGAGAAAGGAAGGGATAGGAGGGCAGGGGCTGGGCGTCTAACCTGGACGTTGCTGCCCTCTTCCAGGTCGGTGAGCGCCCTTGATGTCTCCTGCACGCACCGCAAGCACCAGCTCGATCATCAGAAACCAAATTCCAAGCGCAATCGTCTGAAACCAAATTCGAAGAGGAGCCTGCGGGCTGCGGCTGGGAGGCGCAGAGAGAGAAGCCTACCCCGTCGCCGAGGAGGGGGACACGGTTCGCCTTGGGCACCGTCTTGATGCGCATATTCTTCCCCATCGCCGCCGCCCCTCGGTCGCGCGCCGAAGAGAGCCCAGTCACGCCTCACGCGCTGGCCCGACGCGGCAGCGAGGCGACGCACGAGGGGGAGTGAGGTGAGGTGAGCCGAGCCGAGACGCGGGAGGGAGGGAGACGAGACGAGCGAGACGAGCGGACCTGCTTTGTTGTTGCGTAGCGCTGTGCGGGTGCGGGAAAATGACTGATGAATGGGGGGTGATCATAATTCACATTCACATGGGAGCACGGGGAGAGGGGGAAGGGACAGAGGGGCACGTACGGCCAAGGCCAACAAGCCGGGGGACGGACGCGACTGGGACAGGCGCCTGCTTCCACCGGTCCGTCCCCGGCAGCAGTCGAGTACTAGGTGCCGATCCGGCGTGTCGCCCACTCCAAGAGACCAAGTCCAAGTGCGTGACCGCTTGGATCTGTTTTTCAGTTTTATTTATGAGAATGACGAGTGATTAGGGATCTGCGGCTTGATCATTCTGTGATGACCCATGTCACATGAGAATCTATTTTGATGTTTTCTTTTGTGATAACACAGACGTAAACATTTAAGGTCCTGTTTGGTTGGACGGTGGCTTCTAGAAAAGCTGCTGGGTCCTGGCTTTTGAAAAAACTGCTGTGGAATGTAATCTGGAAGCCCGTTTGGCTGGACACATGTGGCTTCTGGAAAAGCTTCCCCCTACAAGCGGACCCCACATGTCATAGACAGCCAGGCATCTTCTCCTTCCTCTCGACACGGGGATGGCTGGCTCACCCAACCGCCAGGTCGGGCAGCACCGCAGGGGACGGGTCTGCGCCACCAGAAGCTCTGGGCGGTGGCGCTGTCGATGAACGCCGGCGCGACCGTCACGGATCTGAGGAGAAGGACAGCCGGAGAGGGAGGGGCAGCTCGGAAGCCAGAGAGGGAGGAGGGGCTGCGCCTGCTGCTCGATGGGATGGCCTCGTCGCGGCCTCCGGTCGCGTCGCAGGGGCTGTACCCGCCGGAGCTAGGGCAGGGGGCGCACTCGGCTGTGCTCGCCCCGCACCCGCCGGATCTGGGTAGCCGGCGCAGGGGCAGCTCGTGCCGTCCATGGGAGGGACAGGGGAGGGGAAGGAGCTCGCGCCGTCCATGGGGCCTCGCCGGAGGTTCACGTGGACCTCCGCCGAAGTCGCCGGTGAAGGTTGGGCACCACCGCTGCCTGGGAGGAGCGGCTCTGGCGCCGCCACGCGCCGGTGGTGCCTGGCCGCCGCGCGCCGGTGAAGTCTGGGGCGTTGCGCGCCGGTGAAGGGTGAGCGCCGCCGCTAGCCCAGGCCCGGACGCGACTCAGCGGACGGAACAGAAACGAAAATAAACCAACCGGTATCTCGTAACCAGGGGAAGGTGGGTAGTTTTTTTACCCAAAAGCAGCTGAAAGGAGGAGATGTGCTTTTTCATTTGTACTACAGTGCTGCTTTTGGACAAAAACAGATGTGACGTTTCGACCTTTTAGTTGAGCTTTTTAACTTTTGGGAGAAAAAGCTATCGCTAAAAGCCCAATCAAACAGGGCTATATGCACGCATACTCAATTAAGTACTCCCTCCATACTAAAAAAAACTGGACGTCCTGGGTGTATACGTAGTTTTTGCGAAACTTGACGTTGTGGCTCCGTGACCCTGTCCGTGGACTTGTTTGCCCCTGCGGTCTGTTCGGCTGGCCTTCCTTAATTGCTTTCGTTTATCGCGCGCGCCGCCTAGAGCACTAATCATCGCTGCATCGTTTGTTTCGTTGCCCGTTGAATCGATCAACCGAGTACTACTACTGCCACGCACTGCCTTCCTCTCGCCTCCCTTCATCAACGCAGTAGAAGCCTCGCCGCAGTTCCTCGCCGCCGAGCAGTCTAGGGTCTAGGGCTCCTCGCCGTCGAGCAGTGTAGCCGCGCCGCCGTTCCTCACTTCATGCCGTCGTTTTCCTCGCTGCACGGACGTTCCTCGCCGCCATGGAGGAGTCCGGCGCCATGGAGGGTGCTCGCGCCATGGAGGAGTCCGCCGCCATGAATGTCGCTTGCGCCATGGAGGAGGCGCTGGACGCGGAGATGACGATGGACGCCGAGATGGCGCTAGACTCGGAGATGACGATGCAGTCCGTCGAGATCGCGCCGAACTCCGTCGAGTTCGTGCCGCACTCCGTCGAGGTCGTCCCGGACTCCGTCGAAGAGGTCCCGGACTCCGTCATGGAGGTCCCGGACTCCATCGATGACGCGCCCGACGACGAGGTGGTGCACTGTCCTCGCTGCAGCATGTTCCATGCCGGCGGCGTCTTCGGAGAAGCCTGCTATCAAGCCAGACGCGAAGCTCGCAGGTGTGCACGTTGTGGCCTTATTCACAGCGACTACGATCTCATATAAAGCATCATTTATCGTATAGATCCATTTGATTGTGAGATCTTTATCCCTGATGTGGACAAGCTTGAGATGAACGGTAACACGATACTACTACCTGAGCACGTTCAAATGAAGTTGGACGGTAACATCTACAATACGAAAAAGTTGGAAGATGCAAACAAAGAATAGTAAGGTACATGTCTTCTTGCAAGCAGTAATGTTCTACCATCTTCGAACATGCTTCCTGCTGCAGGAAGGCTAATTTGCTTCGGCTAACATGTTCTACCATCTCCTAATTTGCTGCAGGAAGGCTAGCTAGTGCTTCGGCTAGCAAGGAAGCTTCACATGGAACTTGCAGTGGTAGCCTTCCTTCCCTCTCTAGTACTTGTTTCCGAATGTGAGGAATCTTGATTTTGTTGCAACCTTTTTTCTTCATTGCTTTCTTCAAAACAGTTTGTAGTGTCACAAAGATCCGATTTGCTTTTCGTTGAGAGTACTCCAAAAATGCCTACAAAACATGAGTTCAACAAATGAATCAATGAGTACTCCATTTAGTTGTTAAAGTTCAATTTAATCAATGCAATGGATGATCGTTTACCTCTTCGACTGCTGGAATTAGATCTTGCATTGTTTTTGCATATTTCTTGTATTGAATTGCTTGAATGGCTAGAAAAAACCTCAAATCTAAAATGTTAAAATCCGGAGAATTGGGTGGTTGACATATAAGCCGAATGTCAACCCCATCTTGCTTAGCAACTTCACAAAATTGAGGATCATCGACTTTCAAATGAGAAGGAGCATTGTCTTGTATGAAAATAGGCTTGTTCACATCTTCCCTTGGCCACTTGGCTCTAATTGCAGGCAACACTTTATTTATCATGAAATCTCTTATCACCTCCCTTGTGATTGATTGAATTGGCTTGATTACTTGCGCTCCACGAAGCCGATTGTGACTTCCTCTAATAGCTTGTTCAAAGTTGACTAGTGGAAAGCAGCCTATCTTGCCATCAAACACACATTCTCCATTTCTAAATCTTGACCGAGCACATACACACAAGAACATGATCCTAGGGATGTAGTTCTTGTTCTTGCAAGTGCGATGTGGTTCATCTTCCTCGGGTAGCAAGTAGTACCTCTCGGATGTTTGATGGAGATAGAACCACTTCTCATCAATGAACACAAAGTCAAACAAATCTTTAAACTTTGGATCATCAACCAAACCTTGCTCAATCATGTCAATGCACCACTTCAACCTAGTCTTCTTGTTAGCATCAGTGAGGTAAGGTTTTATGCTACTAGAGTGGCGCCTAAGCAAACCCTTTTTTAAATACCTTTGTATCCTACATTTGTTAATACCAAGTCTACTAGACACATCTTCTATGGTCATTCTTTGCTTGAGTGGAATGTCCCCCAATCGTTCCAAATCAAAAGGGATTGCTTTACGACCACTTCTACCTTTCTTTAGATTAGGAACCATGACCGGTATGTTTTGGCGAAGTTGGTCTTTACCTTGCTTCCATATGCGCTGAACTGTTCGAATCTTCATTCCAAATTGTTCACCAACAATTGTTGTATCATGCTTGCCTAGTTTCCCATTGTTGCTTCTCATCAACAATGCTTGATACACTTGTTGTCTAAGATGATTAGGATAGTCATGCTTCGGTTGGTTTACTTGATCGGCATCTTGTTCTAGCCAAAGGAAAAACACAAGCAATTAGCCACGACATGTTGTACTACTTATAGGAAGAAAGCAAGAATACTAATAATAACTCTTGTTCTAGCAAAAAGGAAAAACAACCATTTTAATACTCACGGCATGTTTTATTTATAGGAAAAAAACAAAGACATTCATACAATAGATGCTCACGGCATGCTCACGGTATTCGTACATGCAGAAGAGAAAAACATGGTGTAATACATGCACAAGAGAAGAACAGGAGGTAGTACCGATGCCATGCTCGGCGTCTGCAGGCTCATTCAGATCAAAACCAGCATCGCCGTCGTCATTTTCAGCAAGGTTTTGTAGGTAATCGAAATCCACAACACCAAAATTATCTAATGGCAAGTTCAAATCGAACCCTGTCCAAAAAAGAAGAAAGAAAATGAGAAACGTTACCACACGTTCTTGCTTTGAATATTAAACAAAAAAACCAAACAAACTGAGTAGTACATTACCATTTGTGGTGTCGTCCTCCAATATTGGGTCGTTGAGATCGACGTCGCCGTCTTCTTCCAAACGAATGTTCAAATCAAATGGATTAGCCATTGCAGCAGAGAAGGAGTGGACAAGGAAAGAGTGGACCACGGCAAAGAGTGGAAAGATGAACAGTTCGGATGGAAAGGTGAGCACCAGTTAAATAGGAAAGGAGATGGACCATCGGCGGACCACCTGACAATAGCTTTCGCGGCGTGAAAAAATGATTCAAAAACGCGCCATGCAACGAAAACTCGAGCTGGGAAATGCGAAGCGTGCACGACCAAAACAGCGCCATGCAACAAAAACGACGCGCCATGCTACGCCGTGGCGCCAAGACGGGCAAAATCTTGACGCGACGCGGCGAAAGCAGGACGCGAAGCGAAGCGCGATGCAAGCGGCGAAACGCGTGGGCGCGCGGCGGCGCGTGCAAACGACCCGACCGCGCGATGACATGCAA